CTCTCTCTCTCTCTCTCAATAAAGATTAGGCTAGAAACAACACCAGAATGTTTCCTTCCTGCCTTCCTTACAGGATTAGCCCTGTAAAGTGGAAAAAAACAAAAGGAGATTTCTTCCAACAACCGGTTCTCCAAACTGCTTAGAAAGTTACCAACTGGTTCTCCCGAATAGGTGCGAACTGGCTGAATCTCACCACTGGTAGTATCTAAGAATTATTAAGGTAGTATCTAGAGTGACGCGGTGGCTCAGTGGCTAAGACGCTGAGCTTGTTGATCAAAAGATCAGCAGTTTGCCAGTTTGAATCCCTAGCGCCACGTAACGGAGTGAGCTCCCATTACTCGTCCCAGCTTCTGCCAACCTAGCAGCGTTCTGTGCATCTTCGCCATTTAGTCATGCCGGCCTCATGACCACGGAGACGTCTTCGGACAGCGCTGGCTCCTTGGCTTTGAAATGGAGATAAGCATCGCCCCCAAGAGTCGGGAACGACTAGCACACATGTGCGAGGGGAACCTTTACTTTTACCTTATTCTGTTTTTTAAAAGGAAGTACATTGAGCCACAAGTTCTGATGAATTCTGACTCTGAGATCCAACTGCCATCACATATGATGTGGTTCTACCAAAATATTTGTCTAATAGATCCAATGATAATGCAAAGAATTTGAACTCGCATGCTTTGGTGTTCAAAAGCATTAGAACATGGATGCAGGAATTTCATGCATGAGTTTTGACCTTGTGGCTCAAATATTATAACACATTGTGCATGCATCTTGTTTTTGCACCTGGGCGAGAAGAACACACACGCTTGATTCTGAGCAAAATAATAATAATAATTTCTTCCTAAAATGCTTGCTAATTCTCCAGAAATTGTTCACACGGGCATCCTACTCCAAATTTAGTGATAAACATCCAAGCCCAAGCACCGTTTTACAACTGAGTAGGGCATTTTTTGCAGTTTATACTAGATATTAAAGTCTCCTGCTTATATTTTATTGTCAATTTTATTTGCAGCTGTCAAAAGCCGAGGGTAGACCTCCTTAAACAGTTCCAAACAAAGATGAAATTTTACTGTCTCGGTCCTTAGTTAACAGCCGATGTCAATATCCTACAAGATCAGAGGATAATGATATCCCTGCTGCTAAATAAGAACCCAATCAAAATCACAGTGTTTATTTTCCAAGCAGGAAACATTGATCCTCTCTTCTCTGTTCCAATGACATTCTCACCCCTGCTACAGCCTAATGACATTTTTTGTGTTGTCTAACAGCAATATTGGCTTCCTTAAAGCCGAGTGGCAAATGTTACGACAGAGAGTATCTTTAGGAAGGTGACAGATGCAAGGAGATGGCAAAGCCAATACGAGCTCTCAATTATGGACAAGCGAAGATCGTTTCCATCCAGGGGTGCAGATCGATTCGGGGATGGACTTGATGCCCCATCAGTCGGATAATGTCGTGATGAGGCACTCGACTACCGAAGGCAAAAAA